AAGCTTCTGAAAAGGGTTTCCGGCACTACCATCCAAATGGTTGGATGGGGGTACCTTAAACCCCTTTCAGAAGCTTCAGCCACTTCAGCGGTTTCAGGTCCCCACCTGAAATTCCTGAAATGACTTGAAGTGGCTGAAGCTTCTGAAAGGGGTTTCAGGTTCCCCCATCCAGTCATTTGGATGGGGGTACCTAAAACCCCTTTTAGAAGCTTTAGTCACCTCAACAGTTTCAGGTCCCCACCTGAAATTCTTGAAATGACCTGAAGTGACTGAAACTTTTGAAAGGGGTTTCAGGTACCCCCATCCAACCATTTAGATAGGGGTACCCGAAACCCCATTCAGAAGCTTCAGCCACTTCAGCGTTTTTCGGTCCCCACCTGAAATTCTTGAAATGACGTGAAGTGGTTGAAAAAACAGGCAGAAAAATAAAATAAAAAAAACATAAAACTTGTCTTGCAAACCACCCGAAACTTCTGAAATGACATGAAGTGTCTTCAAGCCATTTCAACGGTTTAAGACCACTTTAGAATCTTTCATTTTGAAATTTCAGGTGGTCATTAACCACGAGTGTCAAAAGGTCAACGGAAATTTCCACCACAATCTAAAATAACCCCGAGGAATGAAAACACTGAGGAAATATAAATCATCACTAAAAAACTTAATTCCGCCTATCCTAAAACCCAACGAAAATTATCAACCCTAATTAATAGTCATAATTTCATCAATCATCAAAGAAAACATTCGCAAAAAAACAATCAAAAGAACAGGAGAAAATCAAAGGTCAGCGCTGCTTGATGATGTTCACTATTCATCCAAGATTACTACCAACCCCCTGCTAATCCGCTCTGCCACCCGCGCAGCAAGGGTCTGTGCCCACAGACCCCCAATCTGCAGACAGAGGCCCTGCAAACTCACCCATCTCCTCGCGATTCAAAGCGGATAGCACCTCCCCACACTCCTCATACAAAAACACTAACTCCCACCACGACGCTGTTTTTGCATTCTGCGTTTTTTTTTTTTCTTGGTGGGGGGGGGGTATTCCGTGTTCTTCTCCAAGCACATTTGGGAAGGTAGCAACCGGTAGTTCGAGCCTCAGCAAGGCTCGACATACCGGTCGGTCGAGACTCGGACTTGATAGCTGGGCCAAGTACTGGTGGCTTAAGTATCCAGAACCCTTCCTCCTACTTGACACTCGGCGCCCAGACTACGATCACGCAGTTAATACTACCAGCCTACGAGTTGACAACGCAACTATTGACGTCAGCAGCAGAACTGAAGTACATGAAGATGTCGACCCTTGTAGACTATCGTCAAGACCACGTACGTGCCCTCATATCATCATTCTCATCGCTTTCTTTCTCTCTCTCTCTCTCTCTCTCTCTCTCTCTCTCTCTCTCTCTCTCTCT